ATCGTAGGTATTTTCTTGAAAATAAAAGAGTTCCCTTACAGATTTTGGTGCAAGTGCATTTAAAGTCTTAAACATCATTATTGCTTTATGCTCCTTTCTTCTTCTTCACTTATTAGATGCATGCATATCATGCACGTCATGATCATCACCATTCAGGATATCGTAAAACCTTTTTGGATCGTGTATTAATTCCGATTGTACACGATCTGTGTTCATCCCAAACCTCCCCCAAAGAGAATTAAGGCATAGTTTTGAAATCGCTCTTAAACCAGGGTTAGTCTGAATTTTTTCAGGTCGTAATCGTACACCTTCGTGCTCGAAGTAACTTTGTATATAGCGCGCTCTATCATCTTGCGTGACCACCCAAGAAGGATAATTTGAGCTTTCTTGTTTAGACCGTAAAAACGTATTCACATAGTCAGTGAACAAATCAGAAGAGGTTTCAGGAAAATGCCAAATCTCCTTTATCTCTAGAATTTGATATCCTTTCTCAATAGCTTTGTTTATCTCGGGAGTAGTCCAAGTTCCCCAAAAACTCCTTTCTTCTCTCGAATGCGAACACTTGTTTAAATGAGCAATGGCACATTCCTTACACAAGGGAAAATATAGCTTTCCATCTATCCTAACTGGCAATACCGGAAAATACAATCCTTCGGGAGCTAGAACCTTACACTTGACAAGACCAAAGTAGGATTCGATGTTTTGAAAGTCTTTGGTAAGAAGGATCGGATGAGATCTCGGAAATTTTTTCGTCTTCATAACAAATGGATAAAGTGAAGTAACATCCGCATATCGAATTCTTTCACCCGGAGCACACGAATAAAATAATTTGAATCCGTTAGTACGACCACCGAAAAACGAGTCTTTAGGATAAAGGTTACCTACGAGCTCGTGTGTGCTTATGAAATGTCGAAAGGCATGGGATTGACTTGTTAGTGTCTTAAAGTCACACTCCCAAATAAAGCGAACTTCRTACCCTAATTGACGGAGACGCTGTTCTCTTTTCAAAGTTTGTTCATAGATATCTAGATTGTTCACATTAGATCGAAAAGGATTGGGAGAAGTAGGATCACAACATTTGTTGTGCGAATGGAAAACACACCCATAATATTCGTATACGATCTTATTAATGGGATCATATCCGTCAACAAAGTATTTTTTCCCATGTTCGTCATCATGAATAACATGTTCGCCTGAGTTTTCTGCATGGATAATTTCAGTGTTGGTAACATATGCTACGAATTCTAACCATTGAATCGAATCTTTGGAATACAACTTATTGATTCCTCGATAGAGATGTTTTGGTACTATCGCAATCGTATTTGGTTTTAAGAACTTATGCCTGTAAATACCCATGACGGTAGCGGCAATGGTGACATATTGAAAAGGATCCGTTTCAGTTTCCTCAAGGAAAATCGAACGAAAACGAAGGCAGCTTTCTCTAAGAATATTGACATCTTGTTCACAGTACTTCAAGATTTCTTGTTTGAAATCGAAAACGTAACCACTTTCACGCATCGAATATGTAACCACTTCACGCATCGAATTATGCCAATCAATAAGTCTCGCACGCTTCTCAGGGAGTAAGGTATCCGGTGCATAATATTTTAAGTTGGGAATGGGTCCTACATACTCAAAATTCTCAGCTCTATTGAAAAGATGAGGAAAAGTACCTTTGGAAAATTCACTCGTGTTCAGCCCAAAGGTCTTAGCTAGCTTATCTAACCCCATGCCGAACCAATTGATGGAATCTATAATCCTGATGTTGTAATCACGAACAAGGAGTTGCATGATCTTTTGTCCGTTACGAATTATGCTTAAATCAGCAGTAGGTCGATTCCGTAATAACCATCGTAGTACAAAGATGCTATCAAACGACTTTGCATTATGAGCTATAGCTGTGTAATCTTTGTGATTYTCCTCGAAAAGAAAATTACAAAATTCGTCCAGTGCATCATACCCTTCAAAAACGAAAGTTTCGCCTTGGAAATTTTGAGAAACTGCAAAGTTGACAACGTGCTCATTACTCGACTGRTCTGTTTCGAAATCAAAAAATAAGAGTCTCTCAGACGGTTGTTTTGGGTCTTGTGTCTGCATAAAACATTTGTGATCCAGTAAAACCATGTCTTTACAAATAGGACAACGGTATTCCCCACAACGATGTTGGAATTTTCGTTCAGAAGCAACCGTGCTGTTACATTGTTTGCAACGAAAACTTTTCTCACACTTTGACCTGAATTTCTTTCCGTTCTTTGTGCGGTCTTTTTTGTGTGCATCAAAACAGCCTTGAGAACGACAAAACTTATTGCAATCCTTACATTCTACGGAAGCCAAAGACCTAACGCAGGTTCTATGTTCGCAAACTCGGCACACATCGTTACAAGGATGTCGCTTTGCATCGTTGTAGTATTTATTACAAGTATTGCAATGAAAACGCTTACCAAAAAAAGCCGGCAGTTTCTTCGGATTAATAAGATCGAAATGACCATCGTTAAAATACAATACGATTTGCTTGTCGCTCTCTTTACCCTCAAAAATAATAGAATTATTCGAAGGAAAACTGATGACCTTTATTTGAAAGTTGGGTAAGACTTGTTGGAACTTTTGTATTTCTTCAAGCCCACATGGCCCTACTGGCACCCCTGCTTCTTCGTGTAGTTCTAAAGCTAACCTCCTCTGAATTGGTCGCGCCTGTTTAATTCGACGAGCTCTGTGATCGTTAAGAGCCATCGCTTTACCAGTTACTATGGCACGAGCTGCACAAAGATGATCTTTGTTACGAATCGTTATTATGCTTTTTTTCARTTTTGTGTGTTTCCGATAGTTAAGTACCTTGTACGACTTACCCCGGCCCGTAGGTGATTTAAGAGCAACAATGTCAATCGTAAAACTTTCATCCAATCTTAACCCCTCGTCCGACTGCAACACTTTAGCAATTTCTGACAGTATCAAAGAAGGGGATTGTTCTTTAACACTAACAAGACGACTGCTTAGAGGTTTCTTCAACTCTGATGAAGTAACCATGACACGCATGCGATCTCTAGTTGGATTGTCAAGCTTACATTTTTCTTTAACTTCAGAAATAGCTTTCTCGAACAAATTGTCTAACGCATTTATACAATCTTTCAAAAGGTTATCTGACCTATTTACATGACTAACCTTAGAAGTATATGCACATGCATGGGCCCCATATTTCTGAACATGTTTTTCCGAAACTAGTTTTAGTTCGTAAGACAGATTATTCGTTTGATTATTTTCTTGGGCAGTGACTTCGGGAGATGAAGCATTATGCAAGTCTTGATACGTTTGYCTTTCTTCGTGTTCATCAGAGGAGCGTGAGGGATGGAAACGTTCTGCGGAACCGATTCCATCAGCGACGTAGCTTAACAGTTTTGCTGTCTTCTTTTGGAGACGGATGACCTTCTGGAGATCAAGATTCGTCCTTTTTAACTCTCGATTTGTTCTTTTCAACAATTTTGCAGTCTTTTTCTGTGTTTTTCTTAATGTGATAGGATCGATGGGACGTTTCTTATTAATGTGTTTAGTCTTCCCCATCTTAGTCGTATGTGAGTAGTAGCAAGGCGTAGCCACAAATCTATACTTGGTTCGAAACAGTTTTGCTGTCTTCTTTTGGAGACGGATGACCTTCTGGAGATCAGGATTCGTCCTTTTTAACTCTCGATTTGTTCTTTTCAACAATTTTGCAGTCTTTTTCTGTGTTTTTCTTAATGTGATAGGATCGATGGGACGTTTCTTATTAATGTGTTTAGTCTTCCCCATCTTAGTCGTATGTGAGTAGTAGCAAGGCGTAGCCACAAATCTATACTTGGTTCGAAAGCACTCGAGTCATGTGTTAGCAAGTGCGAAACATCAATCACTTTCTTATTATTCATGAGTCATTATCCCCCTCCCACATTTCATTCTTTACCCACGTCTCAAACGTATTATCTATTGGCTCAAATCTTTCTCGAATTTATCATCCTCATAATAAAAATACATACAGAACATGTTTGAACTTACAAAATTTTTATTGAAAAAAATCAAAGTCGTAAGCAAATCATGCAATTTACAAACTTATCAATAAGAAAGTTTAGAGATGCACTTCATTTGTTCATTTTTTGTGATGGTTCGTTGTCGTGATTCATCTTCTTCTTCTTCACATATTCCTTATTCAAACTGACTTTGGTTTTCTTAGGTCTTGGTGGCTCAAGTACTTCAACATCATCATCAGTCATGGTGGCCTTATCTGCAGTAGCAACGGACCACTTCGCCTTCCTCTTCTCTAGGTTTTGCAATGTAGCAAAACTTGGAGATTGATCGCCCCATTGGAAAAAGCTACAGTTCTCCCTTTCTCCACACTTGAAAAACGGCTTCCCTGGATTCTTTTGACTCTTCGAGATCCAAAGGGTAGCAGGCATGAGATGATCGCATATTACTATCTGTAATATTTTGT